AAGGAGGGGGCTTTGTAGAAAACGAAGCGTTTGAGAGAGGCGGGGCATAGAGGACCTACAATAATGTACAGTATTTGAAAAATAATGTGTTTTTTGAACATTAAAGCATGTCAGCATATTCTGTTACACCAAATACACAAAATAATGATCTTTAAAAAAGCATCATATGACCCCTTTAATGTACTAAAATAATTCAAACTAAAACTGAAATAAAATTAATAAAAACTATATAGACATTTGTATTTGTACGCCCTTAAACATGAACTTAGCAAACAAGAGTTTCGCAGAATGAGGGTTATCATCTTGACAAAGAGAAAAAACAGCAACGGTACAGTGGCCAAAGACAAGGTACATTCATCAGGAGGATTTTGGCAGTGGTCCTTGTCAGATTGTGGTGAGTTAAATGTTGTGTTGTATATCATGCAGGTGCTGGAGAGTTTTAAGATCATGGACTACAGTCTGCTGTTGGGGGTGCACGTTCTGGACCAGAGTCACAGAGAAGGAGACGTCAACATTGTGGATGGGAAGAGGACCGTGGGACAGAAAGTTCTTTACTCCACTGCCATGGAGTCTATTCAGGGAGACGGAAAGGCAGCAGAGGCTTTGACCACAGACGACACGTGAGTCCCTGACATTAAAACCAGTGTTGTCCTGTTCATGAACATTCAAAATGGGTGTGTTGCAAATAAATTTTTTTAGTGCGTGTTTTAGTAAAAAATGTTTTGTGTTTAGCCAGTGAATGGCACAAAAGAGCTGTTATATTTCACCCCAAAATCTGAAGAAAGAAATGTAAATGATATTTTACTGAAGAAAATGTTTATTTATATACATTATTATTTATAGATACTATTTATGTATTATGTGTATTATTCTATATGTATTATAAAATTATTTATTATTAACTTTAGTATTTTGTTAAGCTGCATTTAATTTATGATTTCATTTATAAACTGTCATATCCGAAATAAATTAAATATAAATTAAATTTAAAGAAAGTTTAATTTTATTAATATATTAATATTAATTTATTTATTAAATTTATTAATTATTAATTTATTTATAAATTATAGATAATTTATATTTCTAATTATATATATATATATTTCAAACTATATATATGTGTGTGTGTGTGTGTGTGTGTGTGTAGTCATGTCTTTAAAAAATCTTTGTATTTATTTAGAATAATAAGTAGTACAAATAAAAACATGAATATAAAATTGTTGCATTATAGCAATTAGAATTTGTCACAGTGCAAAAAATCTTATTGCCACTAAAAATAAGATTTATGTTTTTTATGGATTATTTATTTATTTAGTGGTGAAATGGCTTGTCTTGAACTTAATATGTTTTTGTGAGATTTCCCAGCCACTAATAACCTAATATAATGTAAACACAATGTTTCTTTTTACACAGAATGGGAGGCATTCCTGCAAAAACACACAGGGATGAGAAACTACTAATTTTTCTAGGCATTATTGACATCTTGCAGTCTTACAGGTAAGCCTGGTGTCAGTTTACAACAAACCCAAGAGCCCAAATGCCATGTTACACACCAGCTTACAGCATATTCGCTCAATGCACCGTCTTTAAATGAACTCCCTCATCCCTGACGAGATCTCTCACTCTCATTTCCCACCAAGATTCATTAAGAAGCTGGAGCACTCCTGGAAGGCACTCGTCTATGATGGTGTAAGTCTATATATCTCTCTGCCCTCTTCGTTTATGAATAGACTATTCATATCACTGGGGGAATTAAAGACGCTTCCTGGTTTAATTGTCTTGTATTCTCTTTCTCCTAGGATACGGTGTCTGTGCACAGACCGAGTTTCTATGCAAACAGATTTCTCAAGTTCATGAGCTCCAGAGTATTCAGAAAGATTCAGCGTAAGTCAACAACACAAGCAAACTGATTCAGTATTACATAATCACAATGGGTTACATTTTGAATATTAAAGGTTATAGGTGCAACTTGCATCGGCACAATTCATTTTTAAGAAAATGTGATAACACTGCACAAAAATGTGTTATTTGTTAACATTAATTAATGCATTAGTTAACATAAACTATGAACAATATATTTTTACAGCACTTTGTTGATGTGAAATACAGTTGTAAAAGTTTTGAAAACAATAATACAAATACAAACGTTCATTTCTTTGTTCATGTTCATAGTGCATTAATTAATTTTAACAGATACAACTTAAAAATGCATTAGTAAATATAGAAATTAAGACTAATAAATATTGTTGATTGTTGTCATTGTTAGTTAAGGTTAAATAATATAGTTAACTAATGTTAACAAATTAAACGTTATTGTTAATTGTTACTGATTATATAATAATTAAGAAATAGTTTAAGCCTGTAAATCTAATTGCATATATCTGTGGATATGAAAAAGAAGAATTATATCAATCTAAAAGAAGATATGCAAAGTAACTGCCACAGTACTAGGATGTTCTGGGTGGTTGCCAGGGTGTTGCTATGCAGTTGCTAGGTGGTTTCTTAGTTGTTTTCTATGATATTCTGGCCTCTAGATTAAAAATGATCAAGCAATGGAATTAGAATTAGAATTAATCTAATTAATAGTTGGAAAAAGATCCTATTTCAAACTTCCTGTCAGTGACAATACATAAGAACAGAAGTTGCATCAATGTTCTTGCTCGACCGTCATTCTTTTTCAACTTCAATTTCATTACTAAGAACATTTTGAAACAACATTACATCAGTGCACACAACAGCAGAACTTCTCCTTCCTCTTTCTACAGCTTTACAAGAATCAGAAACTGTAATACACTCCATTAATCTGATTTTTATAAGCCAAATTAAAATAGCAGAATATAGATTTATTTTGATCCTTTCTAATAAAGTTAGACAGCAGACCAAGATTTCATTTCACGGTCTATTTGTCTGCTGCCAGGTAACAGTTAGGGGAGAGTTATATCATCATACTTTCAGTTCAATTAGGACAATGTCCATAGTTAATCTCTTTGTCGCACATCCAGCAAATCGTTTCTCCCCGAGCAAGAGGGCGCGGAACTCCATTTCAGCGCTCAAATGCTCTTCTCAAGAAGTGCTGTCCTCACAGAAGGAGGAGAAGGCCGAGGAGAGGACGGACAGACTTGGAGGAGCCCAAAGTCTTGCCAGTCTGGATGGACAAGGTGGGCACTGATTATATGAAACTATATGAAAACTGCTGATTTTAAGGCTAGAGGGCTTTTCACATGTGAAGAGACATTTTAAACTCTGGATTAACATAATCATGGGCTATCATGTTTCATATTTTACTCTGGATTCGTTTAAATTTAAAGTTTTCACATTGTACATCTGTAAGCCCCGGGGTTAAAGAGATAGTTCTCCCAAACATGAAAATTCTGTCATCGTTTACTCACTCTCCACTTGTTCCAAACCTGTATGAATTTCTGTCTTCTGTTGAACACGAAAGAAGATATTTTGAAGAAGTTCTTATATGAAACTATATGAAAACTGCTGATTTTAAGGCTAGAGGGCTTTTCACATGTGAAGAGACATTTTAAACTCTGGATTAACATAATCATGGGCTATCATGTTTCATATTTTACTCTGGATTCGTTTAAATTTAAAGTTTTCACATTGTACATCTGTAAGCCCCGGGGTTAAAGAGATAGTTCTCCCAAACATGAAAATTCTGTCATCGTTTACTCACTCTCCACTTGTTCCAAACCTGTATGAATTTCTGTCTTCTGCTGAACACGAAAGAAGATATTTTGAAGAAGTTGACAGTAGCCATTGACTTCCATAGTATGGAAAAAAAAATACTATGGAAGTCAATGGCTACCGTCAGCTGTTTGGTTACCAATATTCTTTAAAAATATCTTCTTTTGTGTTTTGGAACAAGTGGAGTGTGAGTAAATGATGACAGATTTTTCATTTTGGGGTCAACAACATTAGCCAGGGTTAAAAATGGCATTAGTCTGGGGTTAAAAAGATACCCTGGGTTAAATGCGGTGTAAAAAGCCCTTGATTTGCATCCTATGCCATCACCAAAGACAAATGGTGACATTTACTTACAAGCATCAGTTCTATCACTGTTGACATACCATACAGGAAGTGTCTGCTTTTCTATCTCATGCAATATCTTTTGGAAAAACCCTGAAAACTGAGCTGCCATCTGAGACATTTTTTTTCCAGACAGTCACGTCTTCCTCATTCAATTCACATTTACTACCTGAACACAAACCTTAGTGCTCAGCGGCAGAAGTTACTCAATGTCTTTGCATTGACTTTTTGCGCTGCTATATTAGTCATCAGCTCAGAGCTGCTGCTAGATATGAATTATAATAAAAAATGTGCTAGCTTACCCTTCAAAAGTTTGGGGTCAGTCTGTTTTTAAAAAGAAATACATACTTTTATTCAGCAAGGATACATTAAATTGATCAAAAGTTACAGTAAAGACATTTACAATGTTACAAACGATTTCTGTTTAAAATAAATTCTATTGAACGTTACTCATCAAAGAATCCTTAAAAAATGCATCGCAGTTTTCACAAAAATATTAAGCACTGTTTTCACCATTGATAATAATAATAAATGTTCTTCAGCAGCAAATCAGCATATTAGAATGATTTCTGAAGAATCATGTGACACTGGAGACTGGAGTAATGATGCTGAAAATTCAGCGTTGACATCACAGGAATAAATTGCATGTTAATATATATTAGAAAATGGTTATTTTAATTTGTAATAATATTTCACAATGTTTCACATAAGAGACTTCTTACAAACACATTAATATCTTGCCGACTCCAAACTTTTGAACAGTAGTTTAGTTACTTTGTCATGCACTGTACATTTATTCCTCCCAGTCACCTCATGTGGTTGTTATTGTCATCTCATACTACAGTGTTCTGGTCCTATAACCGTCCTGACCTGGTCCCTCAGACTCCTTACCCATATGAAGCCTCTTCCTTGAGCCACACCCTCTCCCCGCCCTCTATTTACGTCACAGATCGGTACCGGGAGGCCAAATCAAACGAAAGGTGATACCTTTCACACACATCTCACAAACCTTCAGACCCATAAACCTGACACACACCTGTTACCTTCTCACATCTCCTCTTCTGTTCCCTCCACAGAGATACTGAAAGGAGTAGTTCAACTAAAATATGAAAATTCAATCATCAGTTACCAAACACATTTGACTTTTTTTCCCCCATGGAACACAAATGGAGAATTTTTTTAGCCACATAGTCGTGATGAATGAGGACTAAACACTAAATTCAGATTCATCAATCGGAACGAATTCAATCCAAGTGAAACACAAGTTGGGCATGTAAACACAGAGTTAAACTCAAGAACCAGATTAGTTCAATTCATCAACAAATCATTCTGAGCAGTTCTGTGAACTGAATCAATTGCTTCATTGACAAGATCTGACTCAAAAGATTCCTACATAAATCTAGTTTAGCTACTTCTCTCATTTACACACCAAGGAAAGCTAGATGTCATGATTTTTGTCATTTGATTTCAGTTTCAAGTTGTATAGACTACTTTTATGGTGCATTTGAATCATTTTTGAGCCTAAAAACCTTCATTTATTGTAACTGCATAGAAAAGAGCAACAAATACTTACAATTCCTCTTGTGTTCCACTGAAGAAAGAATGTGATGTGAGTTAGGAATGACATGAGGGTTGAGTAAATAATGACAAACCAGATCAGTTCAGTTCATTAATGAATCTTTCAGAGCGAGTTTGTTAACTGAATCAATTGATACATTGAAAAGATTCAGTTCAAAATAATAATTCCTTCACAAATCAAACTTATCTCATGGAGATACACACCAAGGAGAGCTAGATATCATATTTTTTGTCATTTGATTTCATTTTCAAGTTTTATAGACTACTTTTATGGTGCGTTTGAGTCATATTTTAAGCCTTAAAAAACTTCATTTATTGTAATTGCATGGGAAAGAGCAACAAATACTTAAAAATCCTTTTGTGTTCCACTGAAGAAAGAGTTAGGAACGACAGGAGGGTTGAGTAAATGATGACAAATATTTCATTTTTGTGTGAACTATTCCTTTAACTCACCAAGTCACCTTGAATATAGTCAAACAAAGTCACAATGTAACACTTCGAGATCAATGTCTTATATCCTGCTACAGCGTGAGCAGTTGACCAGGTGCTGTCATGCTACACTTGCTCTGTTGCTGGATTCTTTGTGTTTGGTTTTCACTGATCTCCTCACCTTTGACACACACCTGTTTTAAGAGGAATTCCTGTGAAAACACCTCATGAAAATTTCACCTGCTTGCTAAGGACAAATATAATAGAGGTATTGTTTTATGACACACAATACCACAAAAGGGGGCATTCGGTGTTCCCCAGTTTGAACAATGATTATTGAGTTAAAAGAGCTTTGTCAGATGCCATCCTGTTGACTTAAAGGGTTAGTTCACCCAAAAATTAAAAACTGAAGATGGGTCATGGATGATGGGTCTTCCAGCATGACAATGACCCAAAATACCGCCAAGGCAACAAAGGAGTGGCTCAAAAAGAAGCACATTAAGGTCATGGAGTGGCCTAGCCAGTCCCCAGACCTTAATTCTATAGAAAATCTGTGGAGTGAGCTGAAACTTTGAGTTGCCAAGAAACCTTAAGGATTTAGAGAGAATCTTTAAAGAGGAGTGGAACAAAATCCCTCCTGAGATGTGTGCAAACCTGGTGACCAACTACAAGACACGTCTTACCTCTGTGCTTGCCAACAAGAGTTTCTCCACCAAGTTTTGCTTGGGGATCAAATACTTATTTGACTCACTGAAATGCAAATCAATTTATAACCTTCGTACAGTGTTTTTTTTTTCTGGATTTGATATTCTCTCTATCCGTTAAAATAAACCTACCATAAAAATTATAGGCCCTTAATTTCTTTGTAAGTGGGCAAACTTACAAAATCAGTAGGGGATCAAATAATTATTTTCCCCACTGTAACTCCGACTGGATTCGTCTGAAAGAAGAAAGTCATATACACCTAGGATGCTTCGAGGGTAAGTAAAACACAAGCGAATTTTCTTTTTGGGTGAACTAACCCTTTAATCAACATAATAGGTTAATTAGAGGTTGTTGCTAAGGCAAACATGACTATTGTTATTGCTTACACTTAATGTTAAGGATTTACAATGTTTCAGATGGTACGTTGGGGATCGCTAAGATTTTGCTAAGTTTTTATGTTCACCAAGGCTGCATTTATTTGGTTAAAAACTGTGGAAAAAATGTGAAATATTATTACAATTTAAAATATGTTTTCTGTTTATATATATTTTAAAATGTAATTTATTCCTGTGATGCAAAGCTGAATTTTCAGCATCATTACTCC